AGTTTGAGCCAAGCTCCAATACTGGCTAGGTTTGCTGGTGAAAGAAATATGAGGCAAAATGTTTATAATTATAATCAGGCTCCTGGCCAATAAAATATAAAATAAGCAAATGTGGTAGTTACAAGACAAAAATAAATAGAGTCCAGGGCTGAATCTTGCCTAAGCTTTAGAAGTTCAGTCAGGAGGAAGTCTCACATGAGTGAGGGTTTTAATCAACCTGCAGGTGGGAACCTCGACAAGAACACGAAGCTAGTCTTCTAGAACTCTGCTTCAGATCAAATCCTATCCATTGCATAAATGGAATACATGAAAGTACTGCATTTAACACTCTTTGTAGGCCAGCTAGATCTATCCAACCCATATTATATGGGGTTTTTTATGTTTTGCAATTACCTGGAGATCATCTTCAGCTATGAAGGTCCAAAGTTAGTTCTTTGGACTACTTCTCTCTTACACCCATTCCCATAGAATCTTCTTTTCCTGTTGTTTACTTTTGATGTTTGTCTAAAAGCCTCAAACCATATAAAGTGTTCTACAAAAAAGTTCTGAAAGTCTATTAATACATTCCCTTTAGCATTCTCTGCATATATTTCACACTTATCTTTAGAATTCCAAAGATGAATACCCCTCAAAGCTCCCAGAGCCCTAATCCAGCAGGCTCTCTATCTTACTGATACCACCTGATGCTCTGAACAATTTTTTTTCCTATTTCTAGCAGTCATATTTACAGACAGATTACATTTGGTAGTAACTGCCATGGATAACTCTCCTTCAGTACTCCTTTTAGGATTCCTGATGGCAGTTGCTTTTCCTTGGTCCACACTTCCATCATCTGTGTGACTTGCAGACCGTGGGAGCCCCACCAAAGCCCATCTTGACATGCAGTGGCTAAACAGCCCTAGCCTGGCCACCACTGTTCAAATCTCTCACCTTCCCTGCCACCTTGCCTCACTCCCTCAGCTACATAGGTACAGCCAGCTTTTTGCAGCAGTGTGTAGTGATCTGGATAAGGGGTTAGAGATTGTGGTTAAGGTTGGGCTGAAAATGTTTACAGTTTTTTAATTAAAAAGGGCATGATTATCAAAGTTATTTTAAAATTGCAGTCATCTGCCCCAGCTCTTGGACATGGGGCATTTTATGGCTCCAGGGACACCTGTTTGTATAACTGAGAGGGTTGTACAGAGTCAGTATCTGCTGCCGATAGAAATGCCTGTCAGACGATGAGCTTAGTGTCTTTGCTGAGAGAGATGTGTTGACTTCTCTGGAAAGATTACTCCCTTGTTCTCAGCCTGCTTGCCAACTGGCTGTTCCCTTCGTCTGAGCTTCTGATACTCATGTAAAGAGTGGTACAAAACCCTGGCTTGTTGAGTGCAATGCATGATCTCTGTTCTCTGCAGATAAATCGTTCTGACATGATGCAGCAGTAGCAAGTTGCTTAGTCTGACCAGTTTCTGTTATCTGTTTTAGAAGCTTCAGTGGCCTTTAACTGTTTCATCATAAATAATTTCTGATAAATCTACAAGAATACCACGTAAGAAGGAGGAGTAAAAGTTTTGATCTCTGTGCTTACAATCAAAGCTACACGTTGGTGGGCAGTATGAAACATCCCTTAGCTCCTTCCTCAACCAGCAAATCAGTGATTATCTATGACTCTTCAAAGGACACAATCCCCAGACATTATATGATCGGTTCACTTCCTCACATTACTCTGAGACTCTCCCCTCACATCAGCTGTGAAACCATTAGCCAAGCCTTCTAAATTGTATCACAGAAATATTTTTCCTTAGCTGGGAACAAGTATACTTCTCAGAACAACCTCAGGATGATTTGATCCTACTCCTTTCTCAGAACTGAAACTTCTCTTTTCTGAGAGGACTCAAGTACCAACTCCTTTCTCCTGACCCTCTTCAGCTGTTGACTGTGAAATTCTCTTTACTTACTTGGCACTTTTACAGAGATTGGTAACGCATCACTATACTTACTTGCTCCCAACATCTTTTTTCCTGTAATTGACAGTAGGTGTCTTTCCACAGAAAAATAGCTCTGTGATGTTATGGCTGGGTATCCAACTCTGTCTGTACTCTGCTGCTTTCCCGTCTTCTCTCCCACATGCAAGTCCTCTCAGAAATGACAACCTCAAAAGCATATCCTCTGTCAAGAAAAAGTTCCACAGTTATTCCCTTCCCTCAGTGCAGATCAACATAAGTTTGCTGAGAAATGCTGCCTGACAATCACAAGCTTCTGATTTGAATGCACTTACAGATTTCTTTCTGGAATCTGTACCTGTTTAGAGTCAGTTTCCACCAGCTGCAATGAGACTTCAGGCTCTGAAAGAGTACCTTCACGAGAAGAAATTTTAACAGCACTTAGGCAGAAATACTTAATCTTGATTTATTTCATCATACTTGAAGTATTTAATAAGAAGTACTTTAATAAAAATGTCACTAAAACAACTCTAAATATTCTGTTTGTCCTTTAACATTAGTCTTTACCCTCTCAACAGCTCTGCAGTTTGTTTCATGAAACTCCTACTGTCTTGTTACCTCATTATTCCCTTCTAAAATTTTATCATTATAGCCCACTTCACACCTCCTCTACCATTCTGTCAAATGCTCCTGTGACCTATGGTGCATTTTATAGTTCTAGTTATAGCTATAGAATCAAACCTGCAAAATCTACACCCTGATCTGCCCGTGACGTGTAGGTCACCTTTGGCAGGCCCCCAATTTTTTTAGGCTTCAGCCTCACTAGCCATAAAACTACTTTGTTCTTTGAGATTTATGGCTGAAAACCACAGAATAGAGCTATATATGTTAATACTGCTTACAAAGAGTTTTCAAGTGTGCTGCAATCTCTTTGAATGACTGGATCCATCCAGAGATTTATAATATCTCGTAGACCTAGAAATAAAGTATCTCTAAAGGGCCCTGCTGGACAGTGCCTATCAACCAATGATCTAACATACTTTCTGCTTCTTCCACCCACTTACTCAATTATTCCTTGATGAAGAGGAATAGATATTAGGCACCCATGCATCTCCAACCTGAAATAAATTGCTGTCTTTTAGTTCTTTGCTATGAAGGTCTAAATGATGCTAAATGCATTTAACCTCCCTGTGGCAGGTTGTCTTTCCTTTCAGAAAAATAAACTTAGCTCAACCCTTCTCCCCTCCAATTTCTTCGCAAATACCCTTGACTGCATTCAGCTGGGTGCTGGGAGTGGAGACCAAAAGAACTGAAGCTCTGCCTGAGAACATTTGCCACCCACACACTGCAACAGTGTTTGGGAGCTAAACCTTATTTACGAGGCTTAGTTTCATTTCCAGTCCTTTGTGCCAAAAATCCCAGTGCATTATAATTTGTACACATGGGTGGCCGCACAGTTTTGGCATTATTTGCTACACGCTAGCCCTCTCTTAATCTGGTCTGGGGTCTATAGACATACAACAGTTCCAACAAATGTGTGGGAGCGTGGATATGACAAACGACATCAGGAGATGCATGTAGAGACACATTCAACAGGCAATAAAAAATATCAGAGAACTCTTAAATAAGAAACATTGAAATAGCACTGAAAAATGTATTAACTGTATTGCAACATTTGAGCACAAGCGCAGAATTGGAAGCAAACAGCTTGCTTTGAACATTTCATCAGGCATGTTTCTCTGTAGTAAGCAAAGCTAAAAACCTAGCCAAACTATGGGTAGCCAATACCCTTTGGACTAATTTGGGATGAAGACCAAACACATTTTGGTGCTCAGATATCTTTTGAATAAAAGGCAAACAAATCTGGGTTTTGTCAATATATGTTTAGGCACAGGTTTTGAAAGAAAACTGATTCACTACCTTCATTCATGTTGAATTATATCAAATCTAAAATTTACTCTATACCTTCATTCACTACCCTCACTCACCTGAAACACTTGAGAGCAATATTACAGTAACTCATTCTCCAAATGAGAATGTGGCCATGTGTCACTTTGACGTGGTAACATGTCTGACATGGGACCAATGCCAATCTCAAAGGAGCGCCATATGCACTTTGGTTCTATTGTTTACATAAATTATCTCATATATACTTGGGAAAGATTAGTATCTCCCTTTTGCAACTGTATTTGTCGAAAAAGGGCTGCAAAGGTAAAGAAGAGAATCTCAGTTCTGAATGCTTGCCAGGAAAATGTAACTCTGTTCCACCCACAGCTCAAGGTAAAGAGTAGGAAATGTTCATCATTTCTTTCATTTGTTCTGTCCCTCCCCGAGTCTCCAAACCTCAAACCGTAACACAACAAGCCTCAAACCGTGTCATGAGTAACTCTATAACCAACACAGGGTCACTAAACGAACTGGAGTATCTAGCCTGATTACGAAGTATCATGCTTATAAAGCAGCGTTTCAAAAAACGCTGCCAAGTCTCACGGCTACCGCGCTTGGGAGCTTTGTGCTACTTGTAAGCTTCCTCGCTTAAATCTTTGCTACAAGGACCGACAGCGCCCGTCGGACGGGTGGTATGCCTGGTGCCCAAGGCCAGGTTTGAACGCCCGACGTCCAGGTTTGGTGCCGAGTCTGGACTTGGAGAGCACCGCTGGCAGGTCCCAGTCACCGAGTTTAAACTCCCTTCCTCCGCACCTCCCCCGTCCCGTTCCCTTCCTATGAAGTCGAAGTGAAGGCGTGTGCGGTCGCTTCCTGGATGCTCTTCCCGCATCCGCGCCCCCCGCCCCGGCCCGAGAGCGCTGCCCGCAGCCAGCCCCTTCCCTTCGCCCCTGCCCGCCGAGAAGGGAGGGCGGACACGGCAGCCCCGCGGGCGAGGCGGCGGCGGAGCTGAGAGGCTCTGCCCCCGGAGACGGGTGAGGGAGGACAGGCGCGGTGGCGGCGGGTGAGATGGGTCCCCGCCTGAGGGGAGGCAAGTCCCCGCCCGAGGGCAGAGAAGCGGCTGCTGCCCGGCAGCGCCCCGGGGGTGGGAGCACTGCCTGCCCAGGGAGCGCAGCTGCCCCGGGCCGGCACCCGCGGGTGCGGCAGCGGGGCCGGCCGGGCTCACGGCTCCTCCCGCCGGAGCGCTGCCGGGCCGGGCCGGGGGCGGAGGAGGCGGGGAAGGGGGGAGCCGCTGCCGTCACAGAGGCTCCCGGCTCACTCGGCTCGTCGCCGCGGCAGCCCCAGCCCCGCTCCCACCCCCTCGCCTGCCCCCACCCTCCTTCCCTTTCTCTTGCTTTCTCGGCGAGAGCACTGTGCCTCCCTTCCCAGATGGCAGCCGGCAGCGCCATGCAGCCTCTCGTTCCTCCTCCTCCTCTCCCTCCTCTCCGACTCTAAGTTAATGCCATGCTGCCGCTGCTCTTCCCGGCACTGCTGGCCGCCTGCCTGCCGCCCTGCCAGGGCTGGAGCCCCTCGGCGGCTGCCAGCGGTCAGGAGGAGCAGGAGCAGGAGCTCTTCTTGCCCCCTGCCAACTCCTCCTCCCGCTCCTTGGCCAGCCTCGAGATGGACCTCGACGGCGCAGCGAGCAAGGAGGAAGGGAGCACCGACAGCCCGGGCACCCCGGCTGGCCCTAGCCGAGAGTCTTTCTCTTCCACTCCCACGTTCCCCGGGCAGCAGCAGCAGCAGCGAGAGCAGCAGGAACAGCAGCAGCGTCCCCAGCCGCAGGGGCAGCCGCAGCCCGCCGAGGACCCGCACTGCAACATCAGCGTGCAGCGGCAGATGCTGAGCTCGCTGCTGGTGCGCTGGAGCCGCCCGCTGGGCATCCAGTGCGACCTCTTGCTCTTCTCCACCAACAGCCACGGGCGGGCCTTCTTCTCCGCCGCCTTCCACCGCGTGGGGCCGCCGCTGCTCATCGAGCACCTGGGGCTGGCGGCCGGCGGCGCTCAGCAGGACTTGCGCCTCTGCGTGGGCTGTAGCTGGGTGCGGGGCAGGCGGGTCGGGCGCCTGCGGGGCACCGCGCCCCAGCCCGCTGCCCCCGCTGCCTCATCTTCCTCCTCCTCCTCATCCTCGCTGTCCTACCCGCCGGCGGCGGAGCCTGGCCAGTACTGGCTGCAAGGGGAGCCTCTGAATTTCTGCTGCCTGGATTTCAGCCTGGAGGAGCTAAAGGGCGAGCCGGGCTGGCGGATGAACCGCAAGCCCATCGAGTCCACCTTGGTGGCGTGTTTTATGACTCTGGTCATCATCGTGTGGAGCGTGGCCGCCCTCATCTGGCCCGTGCCCATCATCGCCGGATTCCTGCCCAACGGGATGGAGCAGCGCCGCGGCACCACCGCCGGCACCACCACCGCCACCGCCGCCAAATAGCCTATCCCGGTGACCCCCCCCTTCTCTTCGTCGTGTGCTGTGGAGGGACGTGGGACGGACTCTGTCGTGGTTTTGTTGTTTAAAGCGTGCCACAGGTGCGCGGCGGTCCGCGGGGCCACCTCAGCGCCCGGCCGGCCCTGTCCGGCTCCGAGAGGAGCGGCCCCGAGGGGACCTGTGTGCGCGTTTTATATCTTTAATACCCATTTTAAACGAACCTTTTGGTAAAAAAAAAAAAAAAAAAAAAAAAAAAAAAAAAAGGGAAAAAAAAAGTCCACCCAAAAAATCAAAGGAGGAACTCAGAGAACCTCCTATTTGGCCATATTTATTGTCATCACAGTAGCGTTTTCATATAGGATACAGTTTGAGTGGGTTTTTCCTTTATGGACAGAAAGGGACATCTCTCTTGGCAGGATAGAGAACTGAAGCGATATATATGTTGTTATTGCTGAAGCTGAACTTTTTACACTGTATTTCCCGATTGAGATAGTGTGTATTTATTATTGTAGCTCTGCATTATTTGGCTTTTAATACAGAGATTTTCTTTCTGGAGCCACTGTAGCCTTTTGTTGGTCTGTTTCCGCCAGGGTGGAATGGAGGTTTTAGCTGGCCTTCCTGTCTGTGAACCTGCCACAAAGCTCCCCATGAGATGGTGTTATCAGGGTTGTTGGTGGGAAAAGGGGAACCCCAAACCCTTTCTGAACGGTGTTTGCCCTATCCATACAGTAGATGTGGGTCTGTATGCCTACACCAGCATTGGGTGGAGTGGGGTGGGGAGCTTGGCTGTGCCAGAGATCCTCCAAGGCATTTTAATCTGCACCGCTCCACAGACTACAGCTTTCTCCTCAGTTTGAGGTTAGGTGGCTTCAGTCCTGGGAAGATGAGGCTCACTCTTTGAGGTTTGCTAAAAGCAGTGTGGGGGCACGTCTCTGACTTCCACAAAGTTCTTTCCTCAAAAACAGCTTGGATGCAGTGTATTTGTTGGAGACATGGTAATACTGTACCTCTTTTTCATTTGCCAGTCTGCAGGGTTGCTCACAGAAAGTCTGTGGGGTGAGAAGGCAGGAGATGCCAGTCCAGGATTAGATTCCAGCTGCTGCTGTGCAAGCGTGCGAAGAAGAAATATTTCTTCTCTCTTGTTTGAGCAGACAGTTGTGTAGCCTAAAATATCATTTGTTTTATACTTCCAACTGTTTAGCTTTATAAGAAGTTGTTTCATGATAAGTCCAGTTGAAGTTTCTAAAACCAAAATATGAGCTAAGTGACAAATATTTGCAACAGGAATTCTCATTCCTTTGCCAACATAAATGAATTTAATTTGTTAGGAACACATGAATTTTCTTGGGCCTAATTCAGTGTATTTGTCATGTTTTCTTCCCAAGGGTTTGGTGGAAATGACTGGATGAAAAGTCTGGACGGATTAAATTCTTAAGATTCCTATACTTTTTAATTGAGAACAAAATAAATTAAATGCATGCTCTATGTTTATGCTATCTGGAAAAAACTGCAGAGAGAACAAAATTGACAAGCAGCAGAAATTAATCAAGATTTCAAAATGCTCTATGTCACAGGGCTGCCTCTATACCCACTGTTTCTCCTATTGATCTTGATGGGGTCATGACTTGAGTAAATATTGCAGTCACTGTGAGAAGTGTTCACTTGACATCTTCATTCAATGGGCACCTTCCCCTGTATGCTTAGTTTATGAAGCCTCTCTTTTCTTTCCTTGATGTGAAAAACAGTGTAATTTCCACCTTGTGCAAACTCTTGTGCACAGACATTTGACATGCTAGAGAGCAATTTTTTGCCTATCATGCCCTGTGTGACAGAGAAGCCTCTTCATACTGAAAAGCAAGGCTAGCAAGAAAACATGATGATAATGCTAACAACCTCCTGAAAGAGAAATGTTCTACATATGGAATAGATCTTAGAAGAGTTGCCATGCTAGGAAATAATTTCTTCTTTTGAATGAGATGCTTTTAGGCAGAGAGTTAAAAATTTTAATTGGAAGTTTTTCTAGCTTTGTAGTTCAAAATGTGTAGTCCTCACTGTCATGCAGGCAGCCTGTGCTCAAACTCAAGGTTGGAATTTCTTTTTTTTTTTGCTTATCCTTGTTTCACCAGTGACCTGCTATTGGTTGCTGGTTATTTTTTCCTTTTTCTTTTTTTTTTCAGAATTGCATCAACATAATGTCAGAAACAGACAGCTTCAGCTATTAAAGGTTTATTATTTGCAGTTCTCGCAGACACCTACAAGGTGATACACCGCAACTGGTACAAAATGGCTTGTGTTTTTCTAACTTCTATCAATATCAGCTTGAATATAAACTTCATGAATAGGTAGCAACACACTCAGAATATTTTGCTGCTTCACTTATAAAACGTGATAGAAAAGAGGGATTTACTCATTCTATAAATACACTTGTAAGTGGAGCTACTATTAAAAATTTGATAAAACATGAAATGTTTGAAACACAGGGATGGCATTAAACAAAGAAGCAAACTGCAAAGGCAAATCCTGTTCAGAATATAAAAAACTGGAACATTTTCAGGGAGTACTGATCTCAGACAGAATGTGCAAAGAGCAGTTGTATGTTAACCATGGGGGTAAGCATGTTCCTATCGCAGAGAGAGGCCAGTCTGTGTTTCTGTGCCTTAAAGAGGAGTTTAAGGCACAGCAGAGGGCACAGAGATTACCTGATGTAGAGGCTTTAGCCTGGATCTAACTCTCTGAACGCTTGGATTTCGGTGAGATGGCAGCAGGGCTTCTCCTGTAAAGAACAGAGTGAAAATGCACAATGCAGATCGCGCGCTTTCTTCAGTCTCTGTTACATCTAACATCAATAACTCTGCTCCTATAGCTGTGGCTGCTTCTATGACTCTAAGTAACCTATAATTTTGAGTAACTTTTGCCCACATCCATCGGAATTTCATCTGAATCCAATCCACAGGAGGCAAGCCCAGGGCAATGTGAAACAATACATCTCCACACCAGCTAGTTTTAGGGTCCAGCTTTAGACACTGAAATGTCTATTTATTTTCTTTTTCACTGGCAGTGGAGCTTTATTGTCTCTCTGCTGGAGTTGATTCTAAGCTGTTTTTATTCATTTGGATTTATTTTTAAGACCTGCTGGTAGCAGGGCCAGCACGAGAGCAGATGAGTCACCATATATAATCCTTTACGTACTCAGGGAGGGCATATATATGTATATATCTATCTATACATAAGGACTCACTATGTAGAATAGAAAGTCAAAATAAAAGGGACAAAATGGATGGTGAGAAACAAATAATACTGAGCAAGTAATACTGGTTTTCTTTCCCTATTTGTTGGATCTTGTTTCCTGGTTAGTTATGCTGACTTTATTTATGTACAAGTGTTTGTGGAAAGCAAGGGATACCTAGAAACAGAGGTAATTTCTTGGTTTTGTTTTTATGTAATTCAACTATATTACAGATTATTTTTTTTCATTCCAGGAACTAGGAACTCTCTCCAGACAGAGATTCAGTGTTAGAAGGTGTTAGGCTTGTCTGCTAGTGTTAGAATTTTTTCTGTGTATTCAGAACTCAGAATTTAATCTCTCTCCCTCACCTATTTTCTTAGTTAAGTTTCATAGGTGTGTTAGAAGCAGAAGTATGCAGAGTCATATGTAGTTTTAGCATGGACACAGTTTTGCTGTTACTTGGTGCCACACCGATTCCAATAATAAAAATATAAAAATGTAGTATGATATAATAATATTTACATATTATGTAAGCACACTGTTGTTCAATAGGTTACCAGTAATTGAGCATTTTTTGTATGTCAGGAGGTATGTGGATATATGGGACAAAATTACCATACTTGGTTAAATGTAATATTTCTTACTTATTCAGGGCTTAGTTCACCAGTGCTTTTGATGATTAACGTGACTGCAACAGCAGGACTATTTGTGCAGTGAATATTACTCAATATGAGTAAGGGCTACTGAACCAGACCCTAAAAAAAACTAATTAAAAGCTGTAGCTGACTGCATAAGTATTGTTCATTGTGACATCCGCTTGCTGAATAAAAGTATCTCCAGGGCTGACATTACGTGATCCCAGAGGCTGAACAAAAGCCAAGTGAATTCAAATAGTTAATTGAAGTTTTGTATGACTGGAGATCAAAGAATTTATTTTGAGGATATATATCTAGATGTATGAGTAGGTATGACATTCATGTTCCTCTCTGGCTTTTATAAACATAGTTAATAAATCCAAAGCCAGGATTTCTCAGTCCAGTGTAGGGCCTTGCCTGTTTGGAAATTAGCTTCTTTCTGAAGCTAGTGTGAAAATGTCAGTTATTTTTCAAGGAATTTTACTGAATAAATGTATTTTTTTTTCCAATATATTTCAGGGAGTGGCCTTGACTTTGTAAAAAACATTTATAATGATTCCGTGAAAATGTGTAAATCTCAAGTCCCATATGTATTCAGATTTCAAAACATAAAAAATCTTTTTAATCAGTAACTGAGTTTTAAAAGCATATTTTTAAACAAAAAAATCAGTTTCCATTTTTCTCCTCAGAAGCAGAACGTTTCAATGAAGATCAGAAGTGCACTTGAGTGTTTCACGTTGTGATTTTGTGTGGAAAAAAATTTCTCTTGTGTGATTTGAAATTGATAACAGCTTGTGACATATAAGGTACTATATTTCTTGTCCCGTCTTCATAATATTTCTGGTAAAATAAGTTGTCCAAAACAATTGTAAATAATAATAATATTAATAATAATAAAGCAGCTTAGCCCATTTGTTTTGTTTCTGTTCTATTCTGCCAAGGGAGAAAGCAGTCTGGTATAAAATTTGGGATATTCAAGATGTTTATTGGAAACATCTGGATGGTGTTTAATTAGGTTTGTGACCAGGCTTCAGTCTCACAATCCAAACATCTTCCAACTTTTTATAAAGTTTGGGTTCTAACTGAGTGTAGCAGTTCAAGCATTTATATGTCAACCACAGTCTCTGGATCTACATGTTGGGAAAGCCAGGATCTAAACCCTTCTCTTATTTTAGGTTTCTTATTGTCTTGGCAAGTTAGCAATCTCAGAGCAAAACCAAGGAAAACTGAAAGGTGCAAATATCCTCTGAAATGCTGTGTGTTTCTGTGTGTTTGGCTTGCTCTTAGCTTTCATAGAAAACATCAGATTAAGAAGATATAAATTAGAGATCAGTGCTGTCCTGAGAAAGTGAATTCCCTAGGAGTGTGAAGTTAAATTGTATTTTGTTCCTTGTAAGGTGACACTTGTTAGATGCAGTGGAACTGTACTTTGTTGGTGTCATTCTGGGTGTTGCTAAGCAACATGAACAGTTAAAATGGAAATACAGAAGAAGAGCATGGAGGAATAAAGGAAACAAGAGACACAGAAAAAGCATAGAAGAGAGTAAATGTGCCAGCACATCCTGCAAAGAAGTTGTGAATACCAACTGTGAAAAAGACAGCGATTAAGATCATAGAGAAAAAAGAAAACACAAGGTGAATGAGGAACTTGATTACGTACTTTGTATTCAGTCTTTCCATATTCAAACTTTTCAGTGCTTTAATTGAACAACTGATTGCAGTTGTGGCCCCAAATGGCGAGAGTAATGGCAAAAGAGAATAAGAGCCTGGGAAGAAGTGGGAGACTAAAGAAAAACTAGGAAATGGAAGCCCATACTACAAATGAAAAGAGAGATCACTCTGTGTTGTGCTGGAACCTAAACAACAAAATGGGAGGGCACTCTCACGCATTTGCTATCTGCTCTACCCCAGGGAAGTGGTCACTGCACCAAACCTGCCAGAATTCAAGAAGCATTAGGACAATGCTCTCAAATACATGGTGTGATTTTTGGGATTGTTCTGTGCAGAGCCAGGAGTTGGACTTGGTAATCCTCAGGGGTCCCTTCCAACTCAGGATATTCTGTGATTCTATGGTTCTGATTCTAACCTAATTTTGCTTTATGTGTTCTCTGAAACTGCAAGGAAAACATGATAAAAGTAATTTTTATGGAATGGATATGGTTCTTCCATCACATCTTGTATTGATCCGTGTCAAACATACGTTTCTCAATGTTCATCATAGAACCATAGAATCATAGAATCAGACGGGTTGGAAAAGACCTCCGAGGTCATCAAGTCCAACCCTTGATCCAACACTGCCATGGTCACTAGGCACTAGGTACTGTCACATTCAGTCTCATCTTAAAAACCTCCAGGGACGGTGAATCCACCACCTCCCTGGGCAGCCCATTCCAATGGCTGATTACTCTCTCTGTAAACTATTTCTTCTTAATATCCAACCTAAACCTCCCCTCGCAGAGCTGTATTAAAGCTATTCGCCTGAACTGAAGTAATGCTAGTGTGACTGTGTTTTCCAGAGTGGGTCAAGTCACTGCTGTTGACAAGACTATGTGCTGGTATGCTGTTTATAGCATTTGGTCTATATTGCCAATACATTCTCACTCAAACATTGTAATGTTACTTACAGGATCTTCCTTTTTTTTTTGTTCCTATCTTCATTGTCTCTGAAGCTTCACTCTGTTTGTCTTCAATCATTAAAAATAAATAATTCTTAAGATTTGTTCTTTTTTCTTAGTATCTTCCTTTTCCCTACTCTCTTTCCATAGCATGTTTTTATCTTGACATTTTCTGCCTTCAGATTTCTCACCTGTCTTTCCCACAAGTATGTCTTTTATTATCAAGCCCTGAAAAAGGACTTCAGGAAACTGTGCTGTCAGTTTCTTCCTGCTTTTCTACTCTGCTTCCCACACATTCAGACTCTCCTGCCTTTGGTCGGGGACACCTGCAGGACAAAAATGAACAGGAAGCCTTGTGCTGAGGGCAAAACCCAAGTGCAAAGTTGCCTCTCTCATCAGTCCTGTAGTCACAGGACTTCTTTCACACATCTGCCCCAGACACTGAGAAGGGTCCATAAGTTATTTTGCCTTCTTCTGGTAAATGAGAAGTGGACCCATTTGAAGAGCTTTCTTCCTCCTTAATTTCTCAAAGTCCTGTTTATGAGTCACCCTCTATTCATGCACCTGCCCAGACACTATTTCGTGCATCATGGGAGTCCTCACATGCCACCTTTCCCACGTATCCTCAGTCAAAATGTCAGGACTTGTGTCATCCTGCCTTCTGCTCTAATCTCCAAAGGTGGACATCGGACATCTTGGGGAAGCTCTGCACAGCTGGAGAAGCAGTGACCTCACTTAGGAATGGATCAGCGTTTAAAGTTATACTCATCTCAGGTATGCAACTACAGTGTCAAAAACATTACTTTTCAATTAAATTTTGGATTCTGCAAAAATTGAGCACCCTTGTCTGCATGATGGCATGTGGGAAAGTGGTATGAGCAGAGGACCTGGCAGATTTTTCAAGTGCTAGTCTAGTAGTATTCTGGCTTTACTAGTAAATGGCTGAGTGGCCAGGGCAACTCATTGCAGCCCTGCTTTTATAGGATGATAAATGTGTGCAGCTCACACTGGAGTTTG